TGCTTATTCCCCACTCTTCCCCTTTTTCAAGACTTGGTTTTCTCTTTCTCTCCTTCCTAAAGTGCAAGCCCTGTATTAGTGGAGACACTGCTTGGTGGACTGCTGTTCCCTTGGTGCCTACAATAGTGTTTAGTATGTAGCAAGCCTCCCATAAGGAGCCCTGGGCGCTTAGTGGGTTACATATTGGGCTTCTTTCTAACTGTAAGTTCAGCAGTTCAAAACTAACAGCCACTCGAGGGAGAAAGATGAGGCTTTTTATTCTTACAAAGAGTTAGTCTTGGAAACCCACAGGGGCAATTCTCCTCTGCTTATTGGGTCACTGTGAGCTGGAATTGACTCTCCGTGGCAGTGAGCTTGAGTTTCAAATTTCACTCAAAGTTCCTATCAAACTACAGAGGCTAGGACAGGGAAACAGTAGGGTCTCATGTTGTGGAATTTGCGGAAATGACTAATTTGTTCTTTTTTTTTTTTTGTCCTGCCTCCCCACCCTCCCGTGGGGTCTGGCCCCTGAATCTTCCTACCCCGTGGTGGTGAGAGAGAGAGAGAGAGAGAGAGAGAGAGAGAGAAATGACTAATTTGGATGTGAATTCTGCAAATTTTTTTTTTTAGGAAACTTCATACGAAGATGCAATGATGGACGAGTGAGAACATAAAGTAGCAAAGAGGTTCAGGATCGGGAAAGTCAGGACCCAGGTTATGCTGCCTGTCTGCTGTGTGTTCTTGGGCAAATTCTCGAACTTTTCCTAGCCTCAGTTTCTTCATCCCTAAAATGAGTATTCATTCAGTAAAAGCACCTGCCTGTCCCGGAGGTCCTCAAGCCCACTCTTTGGCTTGATGACCCACGAGGAGGATGCACAAGACTCAGGAAACAGTTATTTGCAGGGTTATGGTTTATTACAGTGAAAGGGTAGCAGTCAGAATCAGCATAGGAAGAAGGGTAGAGTTCAGAGGAAACCACGAGCAAGCTTTCAAACGCCCTTTCCCGCCGAAGTCACACAAACCAAGTTCACTGCCCTGGAATTGATGCTAACTCATAGCAGCTGGGTAGAATATGATAGAACTGCCCCTGTGGGATTCTGAGACTAATTCTTTACGAGGTTAGGGAGTCTCATCCCTCTCCCGTGAGGTGGCTGGTGGCTTCAGACTGCTTACCATATATCCTCGTGTATAAGCCGAGTTTTTCATCACATTTTTAATGCAGTTTTTGTGGTAAAATTAGTTGTCTTGGTTGATAGTTGGGTTGGCTTATATGCGAGTATATTTGGTACTTTGTGGTTTGCAAGCCCCTAACACAGTGGTTCTCAACCTGTGGGTTGCAACCCCCCTTCGGGGGTCTAATGACACAGGTTGCCTAAGGCCATCGGAAAACACATAAATATTTCACAATATATAATTACGTATTTTGTGATTAATCACAATGCTTTAATTATGTATAATTTTGTTCAATTTGTAATAATGAAAGTACATCCTGCATATCTGATATTTACATTACAATTCATAACAGTAGCAAAATGACAGTAATAAAGTAGCAACGAAAATAATTTTATGGTTGGGGGGCACCACCACATGAGGAACTATATTAAAGGGTCACGGCATTAGGAAAGTTGAGAACCACTGCCCTAACACATAACCAGTATCCCACCAGAGCTCCCTGAAGTCATACAGGATGGCACTGAAACCTACTCGGGGTTGAACTGTGACAGTACATGTGGATTGTATCTATCAAGGAAGCTCGTTAGGGACTCGGCCCAAGGTGTTGATTGGTGCTGGTCTCATCATCACCTTTGATCTGGCAGGACCCAATTCCTAGACTCACACCTTTGATCTGGCAGGACCCAATTCCTAGACTATCAGAGGAAAGCAGGATTTGGCATTAATCACATTGTTTATACAAACAGCCTGGGCATAGTGAGCCACTTTTATCAGTTGGGGGAAAGTGGGAACACTCCCAAAATTCAATTCCCAGACACCAGCCAAAGGCCAGTCTTACAAACAGGACTTTCTAAGGGTGGAAGTTCTTTTCCACCCACTGCCTTCTAGGATAACCGTGAGGACAAAAATGAGAAAATCGATGCAGAACACTTAACACAGCGGTGAGCATATGCTAAGTGCTCACTGAATGTTACTTATATTAAGATGATATTAGAAAATTCACTTAAGAAAGCAATGAGTTTGGCCCAACAACAACATATTTAATAGACTCTCAGGGCTGAAAAGACCTTTAGAAAGTATCTAATCTACTCTCTTATTTTACAAATGAGGAACCTGAGACTCAGAAAGAAGAAGTGATTTACCTGGTGATACCCATTTTAGTTAGTGGAGTAGTGAGGATGTTCTCACGGTAAAGGGGGAGACTTCCTGAGAAGCACTCCGTGTGTTGAACACATGTGTGAACCAGACCTCCAATAGATGACTTCCAGTCAGCATTGGATGGGAATAATCACAGCCTTTGTAGCAGTGTCCATTTCTCATTGAAAGAGATTGGATCATGGCATGTGAAGTGGTGTGACCTTTTTTTATATCAGTAATTTTATTCTGTGAATTTGAGAATGCACATATTACAGCCTTTGCGCAGGCTGGTGGTTGGTAAATGAATTTTAAAGGAGCTGACCTAGCTCTGATTTGCATTGATTGGCTGTTTCCACTTTGCATCATCTGGAAGAGTGAACAGGCAAAGTGCTTTCATTTTTACAGAACAGCTTTCTAATTCAGCGTGAACTCAAGGAAAATGGGTTGATTTCCTTCAGAGTCATTTCAAATACCAAGCCCTAGATCTTGTTGCATAGTTGGGAAGCTGAACCCACCGCCATCAATTCAATTAAACTCTAACTCATAGTGGCCCCTCTCAGACAGAGTACAATGTTTGCATAAGGTTTCCAAGTCTAAACCTTTACTGGGGCAGACAGCTTCATCTGGCTCCCTCTGAGCAATCGGTGGGTTTGAACTGCCAACCTTATGGTTAGCAGCCCAGTGCTTAATCCACTAGGCAGCCAAGGCTATAGCAATCAACGTTCTCTATAAAGAGATATTTATTTGATCTGAATCAGGGTAGAAAGTTAGTCGATATATTAGGAGTTCTAAAAAAGATTTGTGTTTGTACCAAAATGTAACTGTTAATTCAGAATGTATTTGTAATCCATCTCTGGATTCGATGTCACTTGAGTATTAGAAAGTGTCTCATCCTTGTTGTTTTTTAAGTTGAAATGATGTAGTAGAAGGTGTTTCGATAATCGCTTTATTGAGGTGTAATTCACGTTATCTTACAGTTGAAAGCGGACTGTTGGTATTTACTATCCTAGGAGGTATTAAAGAATCGAAGGAATTTTAGAAGTGCCAATCAGTTGACACTTTTAGAGATGGTTGTCGAGTTCTTTGCCAAAGTATAAGAGGGAGTGACCATGGCGCTCTCATCTTTGACCAGGCTGTGTAGTCCAAGTTAACTAGAGAAACAAGTCCAGGGAGACTCGTATGTGTATAAGAAAGAGCTTTATATAAAAGAGCAATTGTACATTAACAAAACATCCCGGCCCAGTCCAGATCAAGTCCATAAGTCCCATATTAGCCGATATGTCGGTTACCAGTCTATAAATTCCTCTTCAGATGCATGCAACACATGCAATGATGTCGAATACAGGAGATCACAGGCCAGGGGGTGGAAAGTCTTGTGGATCCAGTGGTGGTGGAAGCATCTCAGCACTGGCATGGGTCTCCATGTAGCTTCTCCAGCTCCAGGACTCTGGCTCCATCAGCATAGCTCCATGTGGTTTGTCATAGGAATGTCTCACGGGGAGACAGTGTGTGTCCCACCTCCAGGGAGGAAGACAGGAGTTCCCAGAATCCTCAGGAGAAGGTCATGACCACACAGAGGCCTCATGGGCTATGATCTGATAGGTAGTCTAGACTCGACCCCTTTCTCACGTAGATAATGGATTATGTGACTACCACACAGATTGCCTCACTTTTCTCTTGTGGAGCTGCTGGTGGGTTTGAACTGCTGACTTGCAGTTAGCAGGTCAGCATTTAACCCACTGTACCACCAAGGCTCTTTTATTTATAAGATCAAAAATTTAGTCCATAGTAGGGTATAAAACACCACTTTACTTTTGTAAAATATCTTTAATCTGCAGCCAACCCCTTCCCTCAGGCTGATGGGAAATTCTATCTCCACCTCTTGCAGTGGGATCATTACAAGATCTCATGGTTACCTAGTTCTTAAACTGTCATCAACCAGACTTCAAATCTCAGCCATTCCTCCACCAGATATGCTGAGGCCTTAGCTTGTAGGCGTCTCCTCCCCACAGAGCTCCAGAGGGGTAGTCTGGCACATTGTTTCACTCCTCTCACACCTCTGTCTTCCCCTTGCTCCCTTTTCCCCTTTCCCCTTTCCCCTTTCCCCAATCTCCTTTGGGAGCTCACCTGGCATAGTCATTAAGCACTTGGCTGCTAAAGTGAAAGGCTCCCATTTGAGGGAAACGCTGGCTCTTTGAACTCACCAGCTGCTCTGTGGAAGAAAGCTCTCAGTCTGCTTCTGTAACATGGACAGCCTTGGAAACCCTGTGGAGGAGTGCTGCGGTGTTGTCTGGGGTGCTGTACGATGGTTGGGTTGGGGGTGGTTTTGATAGAACCCTCTGTAATGTGCCTCTGCAAACCCAATGCTGACCTCTACTTGTGCATAATAGCTACTGTTTGCTCTGAACTACTCAGACTCACCAAGACCTCCAGGACCTCTGACTCCTTTCTCCATTTAGAATGCAGCAGGTATTATGTGTAGTCCTGGTTTTGGGGTAGCTGATCTCAGCTCCCTTATTATGAACTGTGAATGTGAGAGCTCGAAGGGAGTGAAAGTATGCGCTCATCGAAGTATCCATTAATTAGTAGGTCACTAATTAATGATAATTGGTAGCTGGGGAAGACCTGGGAGGTGGGAAGAGGAAGTCTTCTCTTTCCTCTGACTGGGGCTTGGTCTGCCGGCAGCACTGAATCTGTGTTCTTTGTAACAGGCGACGGCTATGTCTGTGGACTGTCTTGGGCAGCATGCAGTGCTTTCTGGGTAAGTGAGCTTTCAGAGATCATCTGCCATGATTTCTGAGAGCAAATCGCAAATTAAGAGTCTTCTGGGAAAATGGAAAATACTCTGTTTATACAAGGGACCTTCAGAAAGTTCCTGGGTAGGTAGAATGAAAAGATCCTGGGATTTTTCCACCAACATTGTGAAGCCCCTCAGAATTAAAGAGACAGTCACAGAGTTAAGCACGGATATCCCAGTGACCTTGTAGTGTATTTCTCGTCTCTGCCTTAAAAGCAATATAAATCTTTTGAAATTTTAGTGACTGATAGTTTGATCTGCAAGTTTTGGTTTTCTGTGCACTGCACAGACTCTTCAGAAAGATGCCACCTGGTGTGGCCTGACATGTAGGTGGGAGAATGGTGGCGACCTGAACAATGCCAAGACTCCCTGGCCCTTGGACATACTCAGTTGACCTCCCTTCCTTCAGTTTTCCCTTGAAGAGATTGAACTATGTAATTTTCGCAGTGCTCACTGGCATACCATTTTTATTCATTTGGCCACACTTGTAATTTCCAAATAACCCTATCATCTTACCAAACGAGAAAGCCTAACCCACCATAGTCAAGTCAATCTCAACTGATAACAGCTTTCCAGGATAGAGTGTCTGAGCCTGTCGGTCTTTGCGGAAGCAGTCTGCCTCATCTTTCTCCTGTGGAGCACCTGTGGGCTTGAAACACCTGCCTTTCTGTTGTAGCCCATTGCTTCACCCACTGTACCAACCATGGCTCCTACCCTTGTTCTAGTATGATTTCTTTGAGTGTAGAGTTAGTGAAATTTCTGGGTCTTGTACTTTTCTGTTTACTTTTTGACCAGCTGCCACACTTTGAAAGGAGCCTGGTGACAATGTTGGTTAGATGTAGGGTTGTGAACTGCAAGATTGTTTGTTCAAACCCACCAGCCACTCAGCAGGGGAAAGTTGAGGCTGTCTGCTCCTGTAAAAGTTTGCAGTCTAGAAAATCCTACCTAGGGTTGGTGTGAGTGGTGATGCATTGGACTGTGATCTGCATGGTCGGCAGTTCAAAGCCACCAGCAGCTCCTCAGGAGAATGACTGGGCTTTCTATTCCCATAAGCAGTTACAGTATAGGGTTGGTGTGAGTCAGAATCAACTGGACGCCAATGGGTTTCTGGTCACACGCTTCCACAGGGACTCTACCTTGTACAATCTCACTAGTAATAGATGGAGTTCAGTTTCTCCAAGTCCATACCAATGACTGGTTTCCATTTTTCATTCTTTTAAATTTTGAATTAAGTGAGGTTTACAGGCCAGATAATCAGTTTTACCTCAACAGTTCATTCACTTCACCCATTACAAGGCACTTAATCTACCACTACCTATTTCACTTCTTCCCTGTGTTTCCTGTTTCCCTTCCTCTTTCCTTCCTCACCCTCTGAACTTTGTCCGTGGGTAAAAGCTGCCCCTTTAATCATAAATGGTAATTATTCTAATACAGGAGACTTTGAGTTCCAGGTCTGAAAGGTGAACTAAGTGCCATTGTCTTGGTGGTCTTGCCTGTCTCCGTCCAACTAATAAGCCTGGTCTCTTTTATGATTGTGAGTTTTGTTCTGAATTTTTCGCTCACTCTATCCAGGACCTTATAAATTGATCCTTTTCAGAGCAGTTGGCGGTGGTAGTCGAGCACCATCAACTGATATTTGTATGGTCCATTAGATCATTGATCTGATTGTTGCTATATTTTGCTTTTCCTCTCTCTTCTTCCAGACAGTGAGAGATCAGTAGTTGCACATATATTGCATTTTTCTGATAATAGCTATCCTGGTGAGAGGGAAGTAGTATTTCATTGTGACTCTGGTGTACATTTCTCTATTGAAAAATGGAGCATCTTTTCATGTACTACTTATTGGCCATTTGTGTGTCTTCTTTATTGAAATATCTATTAAAGTCCTTTGCCTGTTTTTAAATACGTTTATTTGGCATTTTGTTATTGAGTTGTAGAAGTTTTTTTCTTTTTTTCTTACTTTTATTAGGGGCTCTTACATCTCTTATCACAATCCATACATTCATTCAGTGTGTTAAGCACTTTTGCACATATGTCACCATCATCATTTTCAAAGCATTCTCTTCCCACTTGAACCCCTAATATCAGCTCCCCATTCCTTCCCACAATCTCCCCTTCCTGCCCTCCCTCATGAACCCTTGATAAGTTATAGATTATTATCATTTTCATATCTCACATCATCCTCCATCACCTCTCACCCACTTTTCTGTTATTCGTCCCCCTGGGAAGGAGTAACAAGTGGATCCTTGTGATGGATTCTCCCTTTCTCCCCCACCCTCCTATAATCCTTCTATTATTTCTACTCTCCTTGTTGGCCCTGAGGGGTTTATCTATCCTGGATTCCCTGTGTTGAGGGCAGGGAGAAGAAGTCAGTGTGATTCCAAGTCTCCAGTTGAGGAAAGGGGTCTGAGCTGCACTATGCTCTCAAGGCCACTTAGAGAAAGGGGCATGGTGACACTTACCATGTATATGAGTCAGCTCCACCTTACAGCGACTCCTGCCCAACATTGAAACCCTTCTTGGTGCTGTGCCAGCCTCACAATTGTTGTCTGAGTCCCTGCTGTAGCCATTGTCATTTCATGTCATTGAGGGTCTCCTCTTTTCCACCGACCCTTTCTAGGGCCTGGTATCTGCTGATAACATTTTCAAGGTATGTGAGACAAAGTCTCACCATCTTCTCACTTACAAGAAGCATTCTGGCTGTACTTCTTCTACGACAGATTTATTTGTTCTTTTAGCAGTCCATGGTTATTTCAGTATTGTTTTCCAACACTAATTTAAACGCATCATTTCTTCTCAGATCTTTCTTTTTTTGTTGTATCATTTTATTAGGGACTCTTACATCTCTTGTTACAGTCCATACATTTTATTGCATCAGGCATATTTGTACACATGTTGCCTTCATTCATTTCTAGACATTTACTTTCTATTGAGCACTTGGTATCAGCTCCTCAGTTTTCCCCTTCCCACCTCCCCCATGCCCCCTTGATAGATAATAAATTATTATTATTTTCGTATCTTACCCTGACTGCTATCTCCCTTCCCCCATGTTTTCTGTAGTTTTTCCCCCTGGAGAGGGGTGTATGGTTATATGTCGATCATTGTGATCGGTTCTTCCTTTCTCGCTACCCTTATGGTATCACTATTCCCACTCCTGTTCCTGGATTCTGTGTGTCGTGAGCCCCCATCTCTTTGCTGTACTTGTGTACATGTTCCGGTCTAGTCTGAAACATTACTGGGGTCGTGGTAGTGGGGGCTGAGGAAGCCTCAAGGAACCAGAGGAATATTGTGTTTCATCAGTGCTTTACTGAATCCTGGTTGACTCATCTTTTCCCTGTGACCCCTGTATAGAGGAATTGTTCCATTGTCTACAGATGGGCTTTGGGTCTCTGCTCCGCCCTTTGTTCTCAACAATATGTTTTTGTTCGTTTGTTATGTGTCTTCTGATGCCTATTACGTGGTCCCCATGAGTCCCCATGACTCCTCATGATCTCATCGAAGGTGTGCTTCTTCCATGTGGGCTTATTGCTTCTCTGCTGAGTGGCCGCTTATTTAATCTCAAGCCTTTAAGACCCCAGACACTATATCTTTTAATAGGTGGGCACCATCCACATTCTTCACCACATTGGCTTGTGCACCGTTTTGTGTTCAGCAATTGTGTCGGGAGGAGGAGCGTCGTGGAATGCCGATTTGTTAGAACAAAGTGTTTTTTCTTTCTTTCTTTTTTTAACATTTTATTGGGCTCATACAACTGT